CCCCCCCCCCGGCCATGCCAGCGATATTCATACCCCATTCCTGTATTGTTCTAGGGGTGTTGGGACCGACCCCGCTAGGGACGATGGCATGGAAACAAAATGGACCCTCGGTCCCGATCTCTCCCTTCTCAGGAGTTGTTGTCGGCAGGTTGTACGTCTGCCGACCAAGTCTAGAGGGAGCCCATCATCACCCCTTAAGCTTGAGCAACGGCCAAACACTCAACAACAAGCTCCACGGAACAAATAAAAGGAGACATTGAAAACGGCTGCGGCAAGCGTTAAGGTTTACCCGCCCCACGAAGGCTACCACTCATGGGCTACAGGAATACGGGAGCACTCTTGGTCCGAGATGGCGTCAGACTGCTCAAAACAGATTGCACGGATGGACGGAGAAGAGGCGGGCTCAATGTAGCCTCGCCGTTGTACATACGTGGGGAATAGGACATACTGCAGAAAACTTTCAGTCAGGCAACTAACGTAAGGGCAACGAAGAACGAGGCTTCACGTCAAGGCGAAAATGTGGGTATGACCTGAGAAAAAAAAAAACGGAAGAGGATTTTGAAGCCGACGAGGCACATTTACAACACCACAAGACGCAAGCACACACACACAGCGATAGAAATTTCCGTCAAATTCGAGTCGAAAAAAAGCGAACATTGTCGTCGTCATTCTCAAGCGGACCGTTTCCAAGGTAGCAAAAGAAGATGTTGATGAAACGGTGCACAACTACGGAGCGCACCTCGAGCTGACTTCCCGCGGCCGTTTCCACGATGTCCCGCATCCCGTCTATGCCGGATCCGAACCTGTATACACCCCATCGCCCGCAACCGCGGTAGACACACCATTTAAATACGGAATGGAGGTTCAGCACGTTGCCGGTACGCGGCTTCATCCAATGAACAGAAGGATATTGTCCGGCCGCAAGAGAAAGCAAACACAACTAAACAACATCCGCGGATGGTGTCGACAAATGCACCCCACTGTTATCGTCATGTTTTCGACGATCGGTGTCTCCGCGCAAGCCAAGTTCTACGCCCGCCCCCCCCCCCTCCCACCCCCCGGTGCCCCACGCTGTCACGATGCCGAGACTTGAAATCTTGATCAAAATCCGAAACGATGGGCACTCGAGCACAAGGCAGTGAACAAGGAACGGGCCGAGACCATTTTGCATAATTTTCGGCAATCGTCATGCCGAGACTTTGGGTGCTCGAGCGGCGACGGGAACAGCATCATGCGCACGCACGACCCAACCGTCCATGCAAATCGAGAGCCAGGACTCATTTTTCATGAAAAACGCCTTGTCCACCTGTTGACAAATAAGATTCCCTTGGGGTCCCATGTATGCCGTGGCGGTGCCTGTACTGGATGGCGGTGAGAAAATCAGCGGCGTCGATTGATGTAATTCGACCTAGATGAGAAAAACAAGTTCCCATAACTGTAGCACCTCCGCAATCCTTGTTCTAACGCAGGATCCGAGAAGAAAAATCTTCCGGCGGTCACAGGCTGACCCAACTACGCCGGAAAATATTTAGACTATATATTTTTAACGGGGGAAATTAACGCATACTTAGAATCAAGTTCGGCATGCTGGGATGAACATTCCCCGACTGTTGACAGAAGAAACGAAGACGGTAAGAAATATGGCTTACCGTCTGCCGATTGATCTGATCCACCCTCCTCGAAACCGTCGTCGGTCCTGAAGAGGAAAAGAAACGAGAAAGAAAAGAGACAGAAAACAAGAGGGAACCAAAAGGAAGAGCATCGTCGGAAAAACCACACCCATGGACATCAAAAAGGAGAGCATAGAAAGTCATCACCAAACTACACACGTAGATTGGGCAGGCAAGAGCAGGGGAGGCACGGCCGACACAGATGTGAGGCAGAGCGGAATGACTAGGACGCCGTCCACTGGACGTGATTACCGGGGGGGGTTGAACGGACTGCGTCTCCGCCAAAAGTGCCTCGCGCAGCCCTTCGTTTGTCTCCGCCTACCGAACGCAAAAAGGAAAACAAAAATTGCGTGTAGTTAGGTGATGGGTCGTAGGTAGAGTGACGTTGGATAACACGAGGGGATGCACGCTGAGCAGCACATTGTTCAAACGAAGTAACCGTTTTAAAACAACGCCAGATTTGCTTCAAAAATATAACCAACGGAAAGTAACATCTTACTGTCGTAGAGTGACATGGACAACTCAAAGGGATGCATCCGAAGAAGCACCTTATTCCGATCACAAAACCTTGTGGCCACACCCTGACGCTGAGGTGGGACTCGTAATACATCCTCAACCGGCCGTCGCGAGAAGAAGAGCGAACCTGGGTGCGCGCAGACAGTGCCGTTTCTGGCCGCCCGACGTGATCGGCCATTCGGTTCCGACCGGGTATCGACATCAACTCTTGCACGGAGGAGAAGGTTCGGGTCCGGCACCTGCAAAAAATGAAAATATGATGCGACGGACATCAATGCGCGCGTGATGCGGATTCGGAGAGTACCAAAATGCCCCAAAACGGGGCAGCAATGAGCAACGTGCGCGCAGCACTAGGTGTGGGGGACGGTCTGCGAGCACACCGCACCACCGAGACAAGTTTTGTGACATTAAAAAAACAATCAGTCGTGATGTGTCTAGAAGGTGCCCGAGATGACCGATACTGTGGGTCAGGAAGCAGGGTTCGCGCTACAGCACACAAAAGGAACAAAGAGCAAAAGCACCAAGCAGCTGCAGCAGCGGCAGCAGGAGCAGCGCGGTGGTGGCGGGTCTGCGTACACCCTTGTCGCGCAGGTATTCACAGCGGTTCCATCCGCGGTTTCTGCTCAAGGCCATCGAAAGGTGGCGGAGGGTCTGCCCCCCGCTTGGGATGGTTCCCAGCGAATTTTCGCGACACATGAGTGTAAAAAAAGGTATGTATGGTTGTGTCGCTATACTAACACGTACGTATGGATGTTCAAGTATCGCAATACTCGCACGAGGAAGGGAGAACAGCTCGTCCCGCGGATAGCCGCCACGAGGCGGTTGAACTCGGAGGCGGCAATTCTATCAGGAGCACGCCAACGGAAAAATCCGCCTCCGGCGGTCGCGAGGGGCAACAAAACTGGGTTGCTTCATTGGCCACAAATTTGTGTATGTACCTGTTGGTGGACCTGCCCAGTCACGATACACACGCAAGCATTTCATAATATTGCCCGTATTGCCCGCGCCTCAGAATCGCCGCTTACCGTCAAACCGGTTCGATATATCATGATGCGTTCTTTCTTCGTCCCTAAACGACACCCGAGCGTTTCATCCAACCTCCCTCGCCTTTCACTACTCAATGCGGTGGGCTACAGCTTTCGGCGGCATCGATTATTCGTCGGTGGTGACTTGTCGTCAGAAGCGTGGAATCCGTATGATCGCTTTCTACTGGACTATTTTTTTCTAGTCTTCTCTCGATTTTTCTGTGCTTGCAAGCTCAGCCCACACTAGGAAAACTGACACAAAAACACGTGAGACTAACGAACGAACCGCTCGCTTACAATGCAAATATCGTTCCGTTCTCAAAGGCCTTGGGGCGCGGAAGAGCATGCGCAGACCACACTGCAGCCAGACTTTTCACAATTGTGCGGCTCAAATTGGACAAGTTGATTGCACGAGAACCGCCCGAGTCCATAGACTGCTGTGGTCTGATGGTCTTTTCGTGGTATGTACCCTCAACGCAAGCAGCCCCAGGGTGAGCACAGGCGTGACACACCACGGACCGCGGTGACTCTATCGTCTAGGCACGGTCGTGGCTCCAAGATAAGAGGGTACCTCAAAAGACGGCTCCCGAAAAAAGAAAGTCTATGTATATATATAGACACCATCATCTGTCTTTTGACTTGTACTGGCTGGGGGACCCTTCGGGCCCATTATATTTCGAATACCTTTTTTGAGTAAGTTAGCCTGTGACCACGGGAATCGAAACCGTCAAGTGCTAGACTAGTACGGACAGAAGAAGGTACTGGGCAGAGAGAACGGAACGGGATTTAATTAGAGGGCCCCCCCGACGGCACCGGATGGACTCCAAGGCGGGACAAAATATGTGTTATATTTTGTCTTTTTTTTTGTAGGAGTTTTTTCCGCGCGCGAAGCGCGCGTGCGAAAAAAAAACCGGAGCGATAGCGGAGTTTTTTTTTCGCAAAAAAACTGTTTTAGATGGGTCCTTTTTGTTTCCCCGCCTGGGTTCTGCGCACGTTGAATAACACCGCCTGTCAGCCCGACCCCTGAATTAATTACTGTTCTCAAATTGATGTCCGTGTGTGTGTGTGTTCGCACCACCTTTGCACCGATAAACAAGCCGTTTGAGGATCGTTTTCGGTGCGGAAAAGTTCACAAGCTGTAGCGTAACGAGGCCATCATTCCGCATCCAAGCGTTTCTCATTTCGTGCCCGCGTCGCTGCGTTCGGTGCCGATATGTACTCTATTCACAATCCGTTTCATCGATAACTGCGCCAATTGGCGACGTTCTACAAACAAAACGAGTGCCCAAGCCTACTCCTAATAGGTGAACACTTCTCGCGTCGTTGTTTCCTTGCACCAACCCCTAAGTCACTCGTTCACACCCGGTTTGTCCTCTCTTTGCGGCGTCCTTCAACTGTCATTTGGGACACGTGTGTGTCGGTTTGGTTCTGCTGCTACGTGTGTGTCGGTCGGTTTGGTTCTGCTGCTGCTGCTGTGTTCTTTTTTTGACCTCGTCCACACCGGGTGGTCAACTTTGGCACGTGTTCAGACCAGCTACCACGCATCTCCTCCTCTACAGCTCGCGGCTTTCACTATCTGCATATCACAGAGGGTGTTCGCGTGTGGTTTGCAGACCACGACAGGGCGTAGTGAGGAGGGGCTCGCGATCGGCGACAACTCGCGTGCTAGTTCAAATATTCTGCTGCTGCTGTGTTCTGAGTGGTGGGGCATTTTTTTCTACTTCTTCATTTATTAACGCATACGGAGTGCTGACAACAACGATTCGCATCAACAACATCGCATCAACAACATTTCGGGTGTGTGTACCAAAACAAAAGCAACACATATTCACGGGGGGCGCACGACCCAGCCTACTGCAGGTACTTTCCGCAGCACGGGTTATGCTGTTGTGATGGTTGGCGCGGAAAAAACTCTCCCCACTCGGGGTCTAGTACTGTTTCTAGAGTACAATTGAAAACATCATGCAGGGGCCGCGTGCCCAGATCTATCGCCGGGGCCGAGGTGTGGAAGGCTCCAGCTGCGGCCAGAAAAAATCTGGAAGTCTCGTTCAAACCATTCAAAAGTTTTGCTGTACGCGCTGTCACAGACCCCACCCCCCGAACTGCTGGTCTACACCACCGCAGCAGCGGTGCAGCTCACACCAAAAGGGGATAGATACGTCGTTGAAGTTGAAAATTTGAAAACAATGACCTGGTACTCTTGAGTAACTATAATCGAGATCATAGGGGGATTCGACACTTTGAAATCGTGCCTGCAACGTGAGAATGGACACATGCTACAATGCTCACCGCTCCAACGGCTCCAGCAGCTGCTGAATGTGCTGTCCCACTGATTTGCTCACGTCTTGTACCGTCGTGGCTGCTTGGAACAAGGCGTCGACAGGCAATTTCCCCAATTCAAGCCCTGCTCTAGCATCGGGACGCCTCTCGGCACCGGAACAACTTGAGGCAAGGTCAACGACGACTAGCGCCAGCAGAATCCGACAGTTGGAGCACCACATGCTGAGCCTCCAAGGAAGCCGTCACACACTTCACACGTGTCTGCAGCCTCGAGCATGCACGTAGCTGCTCTGTGCTGTACCACGTGCGTGGAGCATGTTCCCTAAACGCTGCAAATCGATGCATGGGGCCCCGAGGTGTATATTCGTGGACCTGGACATGTTTCGCCGATCTGTTCGCGGAGCCCCCGTGCGAGGGAAACTTGCTCTATATACTACATGTATGTGACCCCGGTTGGGTCGTCTAGCTGGTAGAAGTGGAGGATAGGGGCCAGAGGGGCAGACGACAGAGTCCAATGATGGGAGAACAAAAAAAAAATGCACTTTTGTTCTACTGCTGTACCGTTTGAATGAATGACACAACGATTGATTCCGTCTCAATCCACATATAGAAAAGAATCACAGTAACATAGATAGCAATGAATGAAGTCATAGCATCATCGGCGAAACTGCAGTCTTACCGTATTTGTTTTGTTGCGGCGTTGCCTGGCTGTGGCAGGCTGATACCATCGTATGGCTGCCGATGCACATGTGTCGGATAGTCTAGATCTATACATACAGCAGTAGATTTATCCATCCGGACACGCACGGCCGGCTACCACATATACAGTTGGCGCCCGCAGTTAAGAAATATTTTGTTAAGAAATTGAGGCATACTTTTTCACGAAAAATAAGAAAATAGGGCTAAGAAACATAGCTTAGTCTGGGTCACACAAAAAGAAATGTCTCAAAAAGATAGGAAGGGAGCGGGGGGCGCAAAAGGGTGACAACCCCCAATGTTCGCCTCACGGAGCTTGCATCATAATGACGCACGTCAGCGTGCGGGTGAGGCATCATGCGGTGTTGATTCATTTGATTAGTTTCAGCCCTCACTCATGAGGGGGGTACAGGACCTTGAAGCGATAGCGAGACGTTGCCGCTGGACACATTTCGCTTCTAGGTAGTGGCCTTACGTGCAGCCGTCGGTAGTGAGAATCGGGGTTGAGTACGGGGGTCGAGGAAAGCAGTGCAAATCATTTGTATATTTGGAACGTTGTGTAGTATGCAAGCAGAGAAAAAATAAAAATTACATGCCGATTTAAGAAATTCAGCAGGATTTGGCTGCACGAAAAAATAAGAAACTTGAAATAAGAAACTGAACGACATACGCTGAGTTTATAGCCCACAATAAGATTTCGAGGCTGGACCTGAAATAATAAGCGTTTCTTAACTGCGGGCGCCAACTGTATGCCCGCAAGGAAGGGTACAACTTCGGCACCCATTTGAATAATACTCAAAACTCGATCCCCCGAACGTCGACGACACAGACAGCCAGGAAACTCCACAGCATCATGGATGGCGCCAAAAACAAACTTCTTCACTGACTGGAAGAGAGACGAGCACCGGTGTGTAAGATTAGGGTGTTGTTGCTGTGTTGCTACGCAAATAAATAAACAGGCTCACATACTATCATACTCCCCGGAAAGCGTTCTCTCCTCGTTGTGAAAGAATTAGGGTAGGTTGTTGTTTATTGCGCATGTCGCAAGAACCCCATAAAATGAAGCAAGCTTTCTCTGAGCCTATCTTTCGCATGTATGTGTATGTGTAGTCTTCTAGTCTATCTAGCCTCTGACCGACAACAACACGCCGACCGACGAATGAATTTGAAAATCATTTTCTACCTGGTTTTCGGACTCTCTCATCATGGAAACTGGGTGCGTATCAATGTAATGCCCAAGGACGTTTACAGCGAACAGGTACTTATCCTGGAACCGAGGTGGTTTGCTTGGAGGCCATCATCATGTGTTCTTGTCGCTCACCTTACCGACATACATGCACATACATCAAATATGTGCGTGCATGAACCTCCGGCAACCAACCGTGATTCACCTACAAATAAATCTACAGTAAAATTGAGCTGCTTAGCGATCTATCTACAACGAGCTGTTTTCCGGATGACAACGTGGACAAATTGAATTCTCGAATGCAAGGCGACGCACCGCATGGCATCGTTTCAGGGGTGCTCTTCTCCCGGGAAACGATTCGTGGGGCCCACTATCGTTGTTAGCATTAGCACAGAGAGAAGTGGCTTTCGACGTTACAATGCCAATCAATAGCACTACAGGGAAAATTATATTTATTCGAGCGAAGCGAGATTTCTAATCTTGCCTGAGAGGGCTCAGCGCAATATAGGGGCCGATGCAGGAAAAAAAGTGCGTGCGTGTGTTGTGTTCGCTTAAACTAGGTTTTAGAGTACAGGACTTGATTTGTGACTACAGGGCGCACTTTTTTTTTTTACACAGCAGAGCAGCAAACAGCAACAGCAGACAACACGCGCTCAGCGAGCAGACTGAACACACACGCACAGCAGACAACACGCGCTCAGCGGGCACAGCGACACACCAACAGCGCAGAGCGGACACAGCCACAGCGGCCTGCATGGCATGGCAATTGCATGATGAGTAGACGTCCGTTGGGGCCGATTGACCCGAACTCCCTCCGTGAGGCAGAGACGCACACAGACTCGCGGCGCAGACAAAGCCACGGGGAGAGGGAGCCCCTAGGC